GAGAAACCAGACACGAAAATGGAGAAGCATGAGGGTGCATCCCTGACCTTGTTGTAGATAGCAATTGCCTCCGTGTATCGCCCTCGTGCCATCTGCATGAAATGGGAGCAGAAAAACAGCAGATCAATTGACTGAGTGGGTGTACTAGACTAAAAAATCGGGAGTTGAATTTGAAATACCTGACCAATCCAATAAGGTGTTCTCAACTCATAGCCCTCACCTCTCATCTCCACACACCACCACCACCACCTACAAACTAACAATCCTCCATAATCACATTCTCTTGCCCATCGCTTACCCCCATCCCCCCTCTCCTCCCCCCACCCGTCCATCCACACCATCACCACATCACCCACCTCATCGTTCGCCTGCTGCAGCATCTCAAGCTGCTTGCTCGTCACCTGCACTCCCCCGCCCTTCTTCTGCTGCTCTCTCTGCTTCCGTCCCTCGTCACCCTTGTTCTTGTCTTCTGCGACCGGCCCTTTGCTGCTTTCCCCCAGACTTCCCCTTCCGTGCTTATTCTCATGCACCCCTCTTTGCTCCCTCGTCGCAGCATTAGAAGGACCAGGTCCGTCGCCCAGAAGCAGCAAGCCACACAGCTCAGTGCTCTCCAGCTGTCTCAGCCGCCCCAGTGAGCTTTCCTCACACCGCAGACCCTGGCTGTAACCTCTTTCGTTTCCTTCTTGGCCTATCAAGACACTAGTGGGATAGTTGTTGATTGCTGATACCGGTGGCTGCTGCAGGCGATACAGTTTGGTTGCTGTGATGGAGAGAAAGGGCGGAGGAATGGACAGCGGGAGAGGGAGGAGGGTACAATGCTTGGGGGCTTCCAGGATGATGGCGCATGGGTGAGCAAGCGACAACACGGGAGCAAAATAGTCGTAAGAACCAGATGAGGAATAAGTGTGTTGGCTTATAAGCTCAAGCCGGATTCTGAGTGGATGAAGCTGGCACGCTCTGTTGGCACAGGGCAAAAAAAGGCGCTACAAAAGAGGTCTCACCTTTTCTGACGAATGGAGTAATGCAGGCGGGGCGACTGGGCTGAGAGTGATGATCTGCCCGGGCTGGCACTGATGCTATCAGACGCGCCTCCCAGTCGCAAAGACATGGGCTCCTGAGGATGATGAGGCATGACGATGAGGCATGATGATGAGGAATGACGATGATGCATGATGATGAGGCATGATGATCAGGAATGACGATGATGCATGATGATGAGGCATGATGATGAGGCATGACGATGATGCGTGACGATGAGGCATGACGATGAGGCATGACGATGATGCACGACACTGAAGAAATGTCAGACGAAATAATGATGTCCGACGAGAGTCCCGTAACCATTGTTACGTCGATCGACGAATTCAGTTTACGAAGTGTCAGTGCATCGATATCCAGCAATATTCTGACGCTCTGAAGTGTTGGTCGTAATCTCACCAGCTCAGCTTTTCAAGGGACGAGAGGAGTCCTGCAGCGGCATCAGTCTGTTCCTCTGCATTACACCTGCGCGCCGAGCTTGGAAGCACGAACCCCGCTGTCTGGTCTGCGGTCTCCGCACCTCTCGTACTACCTCCACCCTTGTTCGCGCCGGCTAAATCAACTGAAACGGCGTGGTTTGGAAACGGAGGAGCTGTGTAGTATCGACCATTGAAGAGCGTGCATAGCGTCACGTTCAACGAAAGGCATACAAACGTCGCACGAATGGCACGAAGGGTAGGAGCCATTCTATGCGACGACGCACGGAAATGCGACGCACATCGACTGCGTTGGGTGATTATGGAGATACCGCGTCTAAACGAGAGTTGGTCATCGTCAGAGGCCTTCAGGACACCGCGATGCAGTGCAGGTGGTTCTTCTGGTCTTGCTATTTGTGACCGTTATGATCTTCGAGCATGATGCGCTCTGGACTGAAGCACTACTGGGACGAGCCAGTACACCTATCCTGCGATAATTCCACACCCCCTATCTTCACGCCCTGGGGTACCTACCCTCGAAAAAGTCTCATTTCGAAGGTAGTTAGAAACGATCGCGGGAGTTTCGAGGGTATAAGACACGACCTCAATGAGAGTTTAACACTCTAGCTTTAAGGTACTGAGAATTTTGCCCGCTCACTCTGATTACAAATTTGAGTTTCGAATAGCCAGAACGCTGACGGTTCTTTACTGATAGACCCGTAGTGTCAGGGTGTCCGTCTCATCGATCCTCAAGCCGTATAGGGTGTCTGGCAAAAACGGAGGTAGGGGGTGTGGAAATACCGGAGAACAGGTGTACCTAGATAGTACACGATGGATGCATAGTTCCTGCGCGGTGTGGGATTGATTCGAACGGTCTTGACGCATTTCCTCGTAATAGATACATTTGGATAGAAGAATGAAACTACATCCAATAAAGCAATGAAGTAATTTTTTATGCGGGCTACTTGACACTCACAAAAGAAAAAGCAGCAACAACATCAAAATCAGCAATCGTTTGACCACCGCTTTTTGCATTATTACAACACGAAACAATTACTACAACAATGTTGCAAGATAGGGGAACCACCATATTGTCACCTTTCATCCTCCACATCGTAAATCAATGCCGCAATCACATGGTGCGTGGTGGGTAAGACGCCCTCAACAAGGGCAAGACCCCAGGGTGAGCTTTGAGTAGAGGCGAAGAGCCATGGGGCAATGGAGACACGAGTAATGCCTCCCAGTCCACCTGATGGTAGAATGAATAAAACAATTACACAGTGATTGATCGTACCATGGAAAAGGGTCCTTTATGGAATCCCCCAGAGACAAGAGTGTGCTCTTCGTGTCTCGCTTTGAAGTCTTCAAAGCGAGACACGAGTAATGCTTCCCAGTCCACCTGATGGTAGAATGAATAAAACAATTACACAGTGATTGATCGTACCATGGAAAAGGGTCCTTTATGGAACCCCCCAGAGACAAGAGTGTGCTCTTCCTGTCACTGTAATTAAACCAAACCAATGGGGCACTATTTGGGGTTTCTTGCGGCTGACTATAAGTCAAACCTTGCTGACAACGGCATCATGTGTCAAGTCAACAGACGTGGCGGAAAAATAAAAAAAAAGTTCCAACCTCAAAAGGCAACCGTGCCTCCAATAGCACATCTCAGCCTACCTGCACCCCATGGGGGATGAGCGCAGTGGTCTGCATGTCAGCAGCCATGGAGAGGCCGAAGATGGAGACCAGCCCCACCATGGCGGACCCACGAGTCAACGGCATCAGCTGGAACCTGTTGTTATAAGAGGGTGATGAGTGAGGGTCATGCAGCCATGATGTGTTAACAGAGTTCCGATCCAAAACACGAGTGAGGTTGCGCTGTGAGTGTCACTGTGCAAGGCAACTACGTGCGTCACCCCTCCCACAAGCACGCAGAGCACCCCATGCATAGGCAGACAGGCACAGTGCACCCCACTGGCCACGCACACACAGCACGATCTATCCACAGTGTGCCGTACTGACCAGAAGTATCCCAGGCGGAGGATGGCGTCTTGAATCCTCTGGCGGTAGCGATGCGGGTCCGCTGCTTCTGTGTGTGCGTCCAGCACTGCCGCACACAGCGCCTGGTGGGAGGGAGGAGGGGGGAGTCAGGAATGGACGGGACAAAGATGAGAAGCATGTCAATGTGCTCAGCACTGACATACAGGGTGCCTCGTGCGAGGGAGCCAGAGAGAGACTGAGGGGAAGAAACCAGTTTCTGAGACGCCTCAAAAGAGGAAAGATGGCAAAGCAGGAACGGACGGGTTATCATATCAGAGGCATCTGCGCATGCAGCACACAGGGCCTGGCGAGAGTCATGCGTGCCTGACCTGCCATGCAGCAGTAAGCTCCTGGTCAAAGCCGTGCCACCGTTGAGCACTGATTGGTGTGTGCGTGTAGAAGTTAAACGCGTGCGTGCTGGCATGGTATGGTGCAGGCAGAGAAACAAAGGTGACTCAAGACGTTATTTTGGTGTGTGCGTGTAGAAGTTAAACGAGTGCGTGCTGGGATGGTGCAGCCAGAGTGAAAGACAGATGGAGCTCCAGCAAAAAGGAGGAGAAGGGAGTGGTTGGGATGGACAGGGAAAGCTGGTGAGGAGCGATAAGAGAGTATGTGAGGGGGAACATGTTGGGAGAGCGGCAAATGCTGTCACAGACCAATAAGGGAAGGTTAACTGTGGGAATTGGGTGATTGATAAACAGTGTGCCCTGGCTGATGCATGGGGAAAGTGGCAGAATTGAAAAACCACATGGCTTACGTCTTGAGGATTTCAAACATTGTCCCGGTGAGGTCCTTCCTGCATGGGCATGAGCATGCATGTAAAGGGAGGAGGTGGGGAGGTTACAGAGACGAGGAGGTGGAAATACAGAGTGATGCGTGTGACATGTCCTCTGAAAGCTCATGGCTGGAGCAAGGAACAGCAGATACAATGCTTCGCAAGTGCTCAGCTGGAGCAGGGAAGGATACCCTGGGAAAATATGGCTGTTTCAGGAAAGGCGTAGACTGGGAAGACGTGGCTGTAGCAGGGAAGGCGTACCCTGGAACGGCATGGCTGTAGCAAGGTGCTTGGACGAGAAAGTCCTTTCCCACAGCCTGATGAAGCGCCTGGAGGTCAGATACTCTGGTGATCTGATTGAGGATGAGGAATAGGAGGGAAGGGACGATGGGGAGGAGAACAGGCGGAGATGACTCACTCACTCACCATGTGGTCATGTGTATTGCAAGGGACAGACACAGCTCACTCACCATGTGACGTGTGTTGCGCGGCACAGTGAAGCGCTGGTCGTTTGAAAAGGCCTGCTCTGACTCCAGCAGAGCCTCACGCATGGCCTCAAATGACCTGCCACACATTGAGCAGGAACTGGCTTCAGACGACAAAAGAATGGGGCTGCAGGGGAAGTGACCGCAGAGAAGCGGAGGCAGTGCAAGAGTGGTGTGCTAGGAGGCATGAATGGTGAGGAAAGTGTGTGGGTTTGACAGGCTGAAAGGTTGCAAAGGTAAGGGACCCACTTGTTAAAGACGGGGTAATACTTGACGGTCTGCAGATCCCACACCTTGATAGGCGTGGACGACCGAACACCCTGTGCAAAGCTTTTTCTGCAGAGGAAAGCAGACAGAGAGCACCCTCCGCCATGAGACATGATCGCATGCCATCAGGAATCTATTCAGCGTGAAATTGACAAGAACGAGAAGAGCCACCACAGCAGCAGCACCTACTTCAGTTGGTCGTTCCAGAGAATAGCAGCCGTTGGATCGGCGATCTGTCTCCATCTCGTGATCACCTCGTACACATCCCTCCACCCCTTCAGCACCCCGCTGCCTGCCCCCTTGCTTCTGCTGCTGCTGCTTTTCCGACTGCCCTTGCCTGAGCCGTCACTTCCCCTCTGCCTCTGCTTGGACCTGCTTTCTATCCCTACGCCTCCTCCTGCTATTTCATCTGTTTCCTTGGTTGTTGACGTGCACACATGGAGCAATTGAAAGAGCTCCGCACTTGCAACACTGTGTCACAAAAGCTGCGTTGACCAGCATTCGCAAAAAGCATTCGCAAAATCAGCATTGACAAACCAACTGCATCACGCCCAGAGCTGCCAGCTTTGGGGAAGTACGAGTGGACTTGAACACTCTCAAAGTGAATGGGAGCGGAGGAGAGAGGGGTTGAGTATGGAAAGAAAGGGGAGGAATCTCACCTGCTGCATCACGTCCAAAGCAGCCAGCCCTGCCATGCGCAGCTGAGGGGTGAAGGGAGGGTGAGGGGAGTGGAGTGAGAACAGGAACAGAGTTAATGATGACAGTAATGGGAAGTGAGGAAGTGAATGGGGGGAGACAGAAAGCAAGAGATGAAAGCATGTTTGCATGTCTCTGCGGCTACCTGCTGCCTGTTGGTTTTGAGAATTCTCAAATACCTGCTGCCTGTTTGGCATGAAGGCATCGCAGTGGTAGTGAGCCCGCTGGCCGATCCTGTCCGCTGCTTCGATCAGATCCAACGCTTCTCGTGACAGCCTGGGCAGGGACCGTAGTGTGGCGCGCTGTAACTGGCGTGAAGTGACTGATAGGGGCTGGTAGCCTGGCAGTGTTGCTATAGTAGGGTCACTATTGGTCCATGCCTCCTGTGTTGCGTTGGGGTGGAAATTGTGAGGAACTTAAGGTGAGTGAGGGGGATATGAGTCAGGAATGTAGCAAGGGAAGACTGAAGGGGAAAAGAAAGGTCGGGATGTACTAAGAAGATATTTGTGATAGGATGTGGTGGCGATGCCTCTTGGCTGAGCAATGTGCGAGCAATAGTTTCACACCCAAAGAAAGGGCACTGAAAATTAGGTGTAAAAATGGGGAACAGATGCCATGGGTGATGAAGATAGCTGTGTTGAGGGCGATAAGGGGTGGGTATACTCTGAACTCAGCTGTGAAGTCCCAGTCGAAGCGGATGGAGGAGAGCGGCTGCTGCAAGCGAGCAATGGTGTACGCCAGTACCTTCCTCTGGGAGGGGGAGGCCAGTTGTATTGGCAGATATGGAAGGGAGAGCATGTGAGGAAGGGAGGTGAGTGGGAGTGGCGAGGGGCTGGCCACAGGAAAGAAAGAACAACAAAAGCACTGAAGCATCTCACATGCCTGGTAGAAGATGGAGTGTTGGAGAACTTGTCCCTCCTGATCCCTGGGTTGCAGTGCCATCGCTGTCTGGTACTTGCGCATCTGTGGGCAGCACAAGGGCGTGGCGTTCAGAGTGGCAAGCGTGTCATGATGAGGGTGGTGTGCGGTGCTGTGGGATTGCGACCGTAAAGGACACTATAGAAGCTCGTGAGTGTGAACAGCACAGCGCGTAGCAGCTCACTATGGGACACGTGTCACACACAGCTGGGGAAGCAGTGGGTTGCTCACAGCTTCAGCGAAGTCCCCCAGAGCATGCAGGCTGCTGGCGAGGGCATGCACGAGCTCCATGTCTCCACTGTCCAGCTGCAACCCCTCCCTTGCATAGCGTATGGCGGCCCTGTGGGGCGGGAGAGGGGTGAATAAGTGATGGGAGGTAGCAAGCCAGAAAGATGTGAAGGAGGATGAGACAGAGAAGACACGTGGTCACGTTTAAGGGCTAAACAATGGGCACAGAATCTTGCATCAGGATGGCGCATTTATCTGAACGACGAGAAAAGGAATAAACTCCCTGATGAACAAACCTGTGCTTCAAGAGTAACTCACCTGTACTGCGCCAGAATCGAGCTCTCGGCACAACGTCAAGAGTAGCTCACCTGTAGTCGCCCACGAGCCGGCTTACTGAAACAAGCTCCCGATAATACTCCACAGCCCTGTGCCGTGCACACAGCGATGCATGGATGTGGGTAGAGGGAGTGGTGAGCTGAGCCATCTTTGTACACCCTCGCATGGTCCCCAGTATGGGTGCTGGGAGTACGGACAAGAAAATGGAAGGATGCTGGGAGAGTAGGGATGGAGGGGTGAAATTAGATAAGGACACATGAAATGGAATGCCAGCAAGGATGCAGGGAATTAAAAAAAAAACAGCAGGAAACCTGAGGAAAAATCAAAAGCAAAAGCCCACTCACTTTCGGATCTGCAGTGCTCGCTGCAGCGCCTCTATGGCTTGCTCTACCTCGCCCAGCTCCTTGTGCGCGCGCCCCTTGGAATGCCACAGGTCCGCATCCTGGGGGTGGCGCCTCACTCCCTCTGCAAACACTGCCAGTGACTCCCGCCACCTCCCACTGCCCCCTATGGCGAGGGCCTAGTGTGAGGGAGTGGGAGTAAGGAAGGGAGTAGGGGGGTGGGGAGGAGAGAGGGATTGATCAAAAGGGAGGAGGAAGACTGAGGAAAACGGGTGCTGGGAGGAACAGTTGAGGAACAAGCAATGCATCCTGGACGTATGGAAGGAAGGAGGAAACAATAATGTGTATGAAATTAAAGCCTGCCTTTGGAACGGGGCAACGAGAAGACGAGCAGTGATTGAAGAAAAGTGGAATGGCGAGGGACGGGTTATCGCATATGGGGCGAGGAAAAAAACCGCACAGCGATAAGGAACGAGACTTACAAGGCCTCGGAAGACAAAGGACTGAGAGGGGTCAAGGCGAATGGCTTGCTGAAAGTCCTTCTCAGCTGCATAGTAGTCTTTGAGGTTGAAAGAGAGGATGCCTAGCAGGGGGATTGGGAGGAGTCAGGAGGTCAAAGAGGGATGAGGAAGCTGCATAGTAGTACTTGAGGTTGAAGGACAGGATGCCTGGCAGGGGGATAGGGGGGAGACAGGAAGGCAAGGAGGGATGAACATGGAGATGGGGAGGGAGAGCGAGGGTCTTGAAGGTTGTGCGAGGATCTCGATGTGAGATGTGCAGTTGGGAGCACGTGTAGCTGAGTGGAAAGTGGCAGTGAATCCAACTAATCCAGCACACTCTCTAACACTGTCTCGCCCAACACATATGCTTCACCTCACCTCGCCACCTGAGTGCTTCAGCATTGGAGGGGTGGAGGTCAATGACTCGAGAATAGTCCACTATGGCCTTCAAGACATGGCAAGTGGGTGTGGTGGATTCAGAACAGAAGGCAGAAGCACCAGACGCAATAAGGAGCCTGCTGGCGACATAATCAATGGCGGATGCGTCATGACAGAATCTGGTCTGGTGTGATGTGATCGGGCAGGAGCACAATGTCAACATGTATAGAGTGAAAGTATGGACCAGGTGTGTTTAGAGTCGACTCAAAACACACCCGGTAGCATGTGTGTCATGCATGGATGAAGGCGGCTAACCACACGGTTGCACATCTGAGCTGGCCGGTCTACCCGATGGCAGCATAAATCGTGCTGTGGGTCTGATGGCGTCAAGCGAAAAGTAAGAGAAGACAGCATTCATTGCTCAGTTTACCGGACGAGACACCATAGCACGCCGTTACCCGAGGATGCAGTTTTCCCTTACCTCATGATGTCACCATACATCGTCATCATGTCTACCTCAACAGGCTTGTTCATTTTGAAATAAGTGCCCGCTCGAGCCATGAAGCCGGCTGTGCTTGTGGGGTTTATTGAGAGGGCCTGCCAGCGGAGCACAGAAAATTTTTTTGATGGGTTTACTTAGTGCTGCTGCTGACAACAAAGCAAGTGGTCAGTGGGACATAAGAAGGGATGAAGCGAAGGGGACAGAAGGCATGTAACCCTTACAGTGGACAGGTCAGCGACTGCCTTGTCAAACTGCCCCAGTGCATCGTAGCAGGAGCTTCGGCTAACAAGGACTTGATCCTTCAGAGAGGGGATGGAGGCCAGCTGTCGGGCAATGATTGGGGGATAAACGGGCCCAGAAGGAGCCATGCATGGGAGGCAGGGAAGACATGTGAAGGAAGAAGTGCGGTGTCATAAATGATCAGAAAGGTGGAATACGTTGCAGAATAAAAAAAAAATCAGAAGCAGAAGCAGAAACCTTCACTGAAGAGAAGAAAGAATTGAAAGTTCATGGGTTGCATTCCTGACCTTGTTGTAGATGGCAATTGCTTCCATATATCGCCCGCGTGCAATCTGGATGAAATCGGAGCAGACAGCAGCAGCAGATCAAGTAACGGAATGGAATGGGTACACGAGCTTGAATGATCAAGAAGAGCTGAATCTTAACGGGACGTGTGCTTGCATGCTGACCAGTTCAGTATGAAACAATCAACTTATTACCCTCTCACCTCCCGTATCCATGCCATCTCTTATAAACCACGAATCCTCCATACGCACATTCTCTTGCCCATCGCTTCCCAATCCCCCCCCACCCGTGCATCCACTCCATTACCCGCCTCACCCACCTCGTCGTTCGCCTGCTGCAGCATCTCAAGCTGCTTGCTCGTCACCTGCACTTCCTCCTCCTTCTGCTGCTGTTTTGGCTTCCGTCCCACATCACCATTTTCTACATCTTCTGCAGCCGCCCCTTTGCTGCTTCCCCCCAGACTTTCCCTTCCGTGCATATTCTCATGCAACTCCCTTTGTCCCCCCTTCGCTACATTAGAAGACCCATCGCCCAGCATGAGCAAGCCACAGAGCTCAGTGCTCTCCAGCTGTCTCAGCCGCCCCAGTGAGCTTTCCTCAAACCGCAGGCCCCATACTGCCTGGCTGCCACCTCCCTCCCTTCCCTCTTGGCCTGTCAAGCCACTAGAGGGAGAGTCGCTGATTGCTGATAGCGGTGGCTGCTGCAGGCGATACACCTTGGTTGCTGCGATGGAAAGGGGTTGAATGAACAGCGGGTGAGGGAGGGGGAGGCAGTGGGGCTCAGAAAGGTGACGCATGGACAGGGTGTGGAGAAGCGACAACAGTGGGAGCAGAAGAGTTCCAAAAGTTAGAAGAGGAAAACTTGTTCGTGTGAGCGCATGAGTTAGAGTCGTATGGAGTGTGTTGGTGGCCATGCTTAAGCCGGGCCCAGAATAGATGCAGCTGAGCCTAAGGCCGCAGCCTGCAGGCTCTGTAACCACAGCAGCCGCACCTGCCCAATTGCCCGGCTCACGCCCGTTCGCTGTGCTGTTTTGATCACCTTTTCTGATGAATGGAGTCACGCAGGCGGGCCGACTGGTCGGGGATTGACAATCTGTCTGGAGTGGCACTGATGCTATCAGACGCGCTTCCCATTCGCAGAAACAGGGGCTCCTGAGAATGAGGAGGCGTGACGATGATGCACGACACGAGTGTCAGACAAAGTTGTCAAAAAATCCCGCACCATTGATGTGTCTATCGCAATGCCATGCTGAGTCAATTTTACAAGTGTTGGTGCATCGAAATCTAGTAATGCTCTGTCGCTCCGAATTTTGGCAGTCTCACCAGCTCAGCTCTTCAATAGACGAGAGGAGTCCTGCAGCGGCATCAGTCTGTTCCTCGGCATGACACCTGCGCGCCGAGCTTGGAAGCACGAACCCTGCTGTCTGGTCTACCGTCGTACTACCTCCGCCCTTGTTCGCGCCGGCTATGTTAACCGGAACAGCGTGGTTTTGAAACGAAGGAGCTGTGTAGTATCGACCATTGAAGACCGTGCATAGCGTCAGATTCTGCGAGAGGCACACAAACGTTGCACGAACGGCACGAACGGCAGGAGCCATTCTATGCGGACGTGTCGCATGAAAATGTGATGCACGTGAACTTCGAATTGGCCGTCAAGCCGTGAGTCGTGGTGATAATGTAACTATTGCGTCATAACGTTGACTATCATCGCCAGAAGCCTCAATGCTATGTGCAATGGAGCATAGTCTGCTCTGGTCTTGCAAAAGTGGCTTTTGAACGACATTTAGTACGCGTTATTAGACTAGCCTGGTGGGAAAAAGAACGATATATTCATGGTGTAGGATTGCATTAGGGTCCCAAATTCTTCTTTATTGGGGAGGCTCTGTGCTCAGCATGCAACTTGGAACGACGCACTTGACGAGGAAGCGAAGGGATTTCTCAACGGGTGTCCAATCTCTTGTTACCCGATTTCGTGATTGGCACAGATTGCAGGATCGATGGTGCGAACTTTTTACTTTCGCCAAAATCACGCCCAAATCCACGAGTTTCCCAAGGTTTTGACGGGCGTCAGGCAGGTATCAGAAAGTCCAATGGCACATGTCACGTCAACACGGGAGATCAAGGCCCACCAGGCCTCCACCCCAAGCAGACTCGGTCGCAACGAATGGGATTCACTCAGGTCGATTTTCAGGCCTGGATGTTAGCAGGCTCGCAGCATAGATCTGTCAAGCTGGTTGTAGGTGACAGGAACTTCCCGCGATCGAGTGAGGTTTAGATCAGTAATCGTAGATCGGATTTGGACATTCTTAGGAAAGTACCTACTTCTGGTTGTTCGACTTGCTATGCGTCAATAAGTGCGGTTGCGAGGCTTGGCGACTGGTGATCGACAAGGGTTGCCGCACAGACTGAGCCTTCTTTAGCTTTTGTTTCTTTGTTTCATAGCTTAATTCCTGCCAATTCCTTCTTAGTCAATTCCTGCCACACGTCTCGTCGCCGGTATGGCGCAGGAGGTGGTTGAGGCTTGCGCGCAGCAGCAGTGGTCGCGCGCCGTCAAGCTGCTGACGGCGCAAATAACGGAGGCGGAAGAGGCTAGCAGGAGTCCAGCGGAGGTTGCGATGTTGATGTGGTGGGTTGTAGACCTCGTTGCATCTTAATCGCCCTCAAATTGAATATGAGTAGCACAAACATGGTTGACTCACGGTCTGTCAGCGATTGCTCCCTTGTTCGAATCGCCATACCGTTGTCCACTTCAAGGGATGCCTTCTTGATGAAATTCCGATCCAGCTGCGATGATGATGAACATCTCGTCTCGTATGGTCGATTTTCCCACCAATTTCCACTTCCTTGGTCCAGCAATTGCGCGTGGTGCTATCTACACTTAGATCTTAACAAGCACGCGCTCAAGGACGCCACGAAGGAGTTCTTAAGGAATGATTTAAACCATTTCGTCTCGTACGAACCACTCCCCCCAACCGTTGTCAATCCCTTTGGTGCAGCAATCGCGCGTGGTGCTATCTGCACTTGGATCTCAACAAGCACGCGCTTAAGGACGCCATGAGGGCCACGCAGCTCGCGCCGAACCAGCCTCTCGCCTTCATGCGTCAAGGTGACACGCTCTTTCACCCCCCTTGCCGCTCCTCTGTTTGGAGGTCCTCTGTTCCCTGCCTATCCGAGAAGATGGCCGGCATGCTGCCCCATGACTGTCGCCTGCCTCACTGATTACTCATTGAACGCTACTGTGAAAATGGATTGTGTGTGCTCGCTGAATCTACTTAATCTCTCTTAGTTTTGACTGAAGTTGCTGATTCTTTCCTCGTTTCTCCCCGTGTTGGCGATGCAGGTGCTGCGTGGCTGGCGTTGGGCAAGAAGGACGAAGCCAAGGCCGCCTTCACCCAAGGCTATCAAGCCGCCACCACCACCGGCAGTAGCGCTGCCACCACTCCCCTCGCGTCCTCCTGCGTTGACCTCGAATTCGCGCTGCGCCTGCACTCGCTCTCCATCGACCCCTCCTCTCCTCTATCCCCAACGCCCAAGCTCGCTTCTCCCTCTCAGCAGACTCCCTCCGCGCACGCGCTGCCTGCGTCTCCTTCCTCTGCGAATCCCCCTCGCACGCCGTCCCCCTCGTCCTCTCATCGCGCTCCTGCAGCTTCTTCTGCCGCCCAGAATGGATGTGTGATTCTAGAAACGGGCACTGGTGATGCGTCGCCACGCAGTGCCAAAGAGAAGCAAGGGAAGCTGGGTAATGGGGAGGTTGTTACTGGGGAGGTGCGAGGAGGTGCGTCACCCAAGGAGCAGAAGAAAGAGGGGAAGAAGAAGGGGGGTGGAGCAGGAGAGAGTAGAGGGGAAGGGAGTGGCGGAGGGGAAGACAAAGGGAAAGGGAGCAGTGGCGGAGGGAAGGGGTTGGGAGCACGCGGCAGCCTGGCATTGGATTTGTTGATTTCCCTTGGGTTTAACCAGGTAAGCAACGATGAGATTTCCGTGCGTCTCCGTTTCTTTGTCTGTATCCAACCTATTGTAATACTAAGCTGAACATGCGAGCGCTGTGCGATAGGATGAGTGTGGTGAATCTTTTTTGTATTTTCATTATTGGTTTCGTTCTTGTTTTCCTTGGCAGGTCAATTCAGGCAAGCTTGACGATGCTGTCAAGACCTTCAACCAGGTACATAGCTATCAGCCTATCACAACGCAACTACGTTCCTTTGTCTCTTATTGGTTCGATCAGTGTTTCCTCTGGACAGTGGCTGCTTCTCTCCTGCTTTGCCTGAACCCATCCATTCCGTCTGTACTGCGTTTGCGTGCAGGTTCTGGAGACAGACGGGCGGGCGCTGGGTGCGCTGGTGGGGCGGGGCACAGCACGGGCTCTGCAGCGCAAGCTCAAAGAGGCCGTTGCTGATTTCACTGCTGTAAGCTGCACATGCTTGCTTGACACTCCAGTACACAGCGCTTTGGCATCCGTCTCGTCCCTCCGTTGGCGTTTAGCTAATGCACGTTTCAATGCTCTCTGTTTCCCTGTTATTCTATCTTTCAGGCGATTGAGATTGAGCCGCGGGCAGCAGAGGCGTGGAAGCGGCGAGCTCAGGCGAGGGCTGCTCTGGGGCAGATGGATGAGGTGAGACGGGAACTGGACAGCTGAACCGAGTGATATATGACGAGCGAATGCCCCTCTCGTTGTTCGCCTTCTCCCTCGCCCCACTCTGTCTGACATACTGATGTATTGGTGTGCTCCTTGCTGCACGTTCAGGTGATTGAGGATTTCACTCGAGCGTTCACCATTGATCCCTCGTCCACGGATGTGCTAGCTGAGAGGGGTGAGTGGCTGGCTGTGCAGACAGAACGGGGTCATTGGCTTGTATCAACCGTCTTAAGGGGACACATTGATTTGACAAAAGTTCAATTTTCTAATTTGCATGCTGCTGTGTTGGTGCTGCTGTGGCCTGTCTGTGTGCTGCTGTGCTGTGTGAGTGCGTGCAGGAGTGGTGTATGTGAAGCAGCGCAACTACCGTGCAGCCATTTCGGATCTGAAGACCGCGCTGGATTCCAATCCCAAGGATGCCAATGCGTATAACTTCCTGGTGAGACGTCTCTTACTAGCAGTAACCACCACCGACTAATGGTACGGCTGCCTTTTGTGCCACATTCTCACGTCCTGCTATGACGCAGGAGGGCTGTAACTCTCACCACGACAGGCCGCATACCATCCCAGCATCTTGCTGCTGTTTCTCACTCCATGCCATGCCTCCTCGCCTTTGTCCATCATCTCTCCTGCAGGGCCTTGCGCTGACAGGCGCAGGGTCGTGCATGGAGGGCGTTGCGGCCTACAAGAAGGCTGTGTTTGAGTCGACTTAAAAATAGCCCCTCCACTTCTTTGTCATCTCTCCTGCAGGGCTTGGCGCTGACAGGCACAGGCGCGTGCATGGAGGGCGTTGCGGCGTACAAGAAGGCTGTGGCCCTGCGCCCAGACTTCAAGGACGCGTGGGTCAACATGGGGCAGGCTTATAAGGAGTACGGCGATGCCGAAAACGCAGCCAAGTGCTACCAGAAGGCATTGGACGCGGATTCAAGGTGAGTTGTGTTGCTACCCAAGCAAAGGGGTGGTGGGAAAGTGGACACTGCAAGCAAGGATCTGTGCGCGCCTTTCCAGTTCCTCTGTCTCCTCGCCCTTCAGCGTCCCCCATCTTAACCCCTCTCACTCTTCACCACTTCCCTCCCGGCACTGCAGATTTGCCACAGTGTACCGCTACATTTGAGGCGCCTCAAAAGTCTTCTTCTGCCATCTTCCCCTTCCCTCTTCCTGTTGCCCCTCCCGGCACTGCAGCTTTGCGACGGTGTATCGCTACTGGGCTCTGCTCAAGCACGGCGTGGGCGACCACAGGCCAGCCAGCGGCCACACGCCGCATTCACCCCCTTTCTCCCTTTCCCCCCCACCCACTCTTCCCGTCGCCCCTCCCGGCGCTGCAGCTTTGCGACAGTGTACCGCTACTGGGCGCTGCTCAAGCACGGCGTGGGCGACCACAGGTGAGCTTAGAGGTGACCACAGGTGAGCTTTGAGGTGACCACAGGTGAGCTTTGAGGTGACCACAGGTGAGCTTAGAGGTGACCACAGGTGAGCTTTGAGGTGACCACAGGTGAGCTTAGAGGTGACCACAGGTGAGCTTTGAGGTGACCACAGGTGAGCTTTGAGGTGACCACAGGTGAGCTTAGAGGTGACCACAGGTGAGCTTTGAGGTGACCACAGGTGAGCTTTGAGGTGACCACAGGTGAGCTTTGAGGTGACCACAGGTGAGCTTTGAGGTGACCACAGGTGAGCTTTGAGGTGACCACAGGTGAGCTTTGAGGTGACCACAGGTGAGCTTTGAGGTGACCACAGGTGAGCTTAGAGGTGACCACAGGTGGGTTTAGAGGCGCCTCAAAACGAGCTGCAGCTTTGCGACGGTGTACCGCTATTGGGCGCTGCTCAAGCACGGCGTGGGCGACCACAGGTGAGCGCAAGCAGTTCATGTCAGGTGAGGAGCACCGCAGTACTAGCAGGTTAATATGCAAGGTGAGGAGGAAGTCGGTTTTCTCGTTTCCAGTTGTGTTTGATTCTTTTCTATCTTCCTGTTCTCTGCTTTCCTAGCTACCCGGTGCCTCATATCTGTTGCTCTCACTCTCTCACCACATCTCAACCCACCTCTCCACGTCTCGTAACGCAACGTCCACCTCTCTGTGCGTCTTGTGCTGCTGCTGCCCCCTCTTCCCTTTCTTCCCCCCCCCCCCCCCCCTGTGGCACCAGAGGCGCGTCACAGATGGCGCAGAAAGGGTTGAGGCTGGAGAGGAGCAACATCGAGCTCATGTACTCGTATGCCTCCTCCGAGCATGCCGTGGGGGAATACGCCACTGCCGTAAGTTTGTGATGAGTTTGTGGGGTCATTTATGAGGGGGAATGAGGAGGCCACTGCTTTGAGTGGGTCATGTGTGGGAAGATACGAGGGTGGTGATTGTGTCATGTGGGGGAACATGCAAGGGTGGTGGGGAAATGCATCGCATGCAGATCAAGGTGGAGCGTACATGCGCCTTGACTTGAGCTAGTGGCCTGTGAAGTGTAAACTTCTCCCAGCTTATTGCGCACTGACTTGTTGCTGCTTCACCATAGCATCTCCCGTTCTACTTCCCCTTCGCCCCATTCTGCCAGGGCAAGATGCTCACTGAAACGTCTTCTGCCCCACCACCCGCCCCTCCTCCCTATTCTCCCTTCCTCCATCTGCTGCCCCCCGTACTCCCACTCCCCACTTCCCCCACCCCCTTTCCCCCTCCCCCACCAGGTGCGCACGTACGATGAGATGCTGGGCGTGGAGACAGACTCGGAGTCGAAACTGTTGCAGAATGACTTTGAGTCGACTCACAAGTCACCTTTCCCCATGCCCTGTCCCTTTCCCCGTGCCCTATCCTTTTCCCCATCTCTGGTCCCCTTCTACCTCAGGTGCGCACGTACGATGAGATGCTGGGCGTGGAGACAGACTCGGAGTCCAAGCTGCTGCAGTTCCTCGGCTTCTACCAGCGCGAGATCGCCCTCTACACACTCTCCAAGCACTCGCAGCCACTCGCCCACTTCAGCCTCGACAGGGACCTCGACCCCTTCTTTAAGGTAAGAGCACGCTCACGAACTGGACTCGGAGTCTAAGCTGCTGCAGTTCCTGGGCTTCTATCAGCGCGAGATCGCCCTCTACACACTCTCCAAGCACTCGCAGCCACTCGCCCACTTCAGCATTGACAGGGACCTCGACCCCTTCTTTAAGGTCAGGCCACGCTCACCTTGAAATTCTCTCTATCCATGTTTTGAGGCGTCTCAAAGTTTGCCCTCTACGCGCTCTCCAAGCACACCCAGCCTCTCGCCCACTTCAGCATTGACAGGGACCTCGACCCATTCTCTAAGGTCAGGCCATGCTTGCATCCACCACACCTGCTCCTTGCATCTATATCCATACGACAATATTCTTCTGTATCCCAGAATTTCAGAATTTCTTGCACATTTCACCAAAATACGTGGTCCCTTTTATCCCCGTCCATACACCCCTCCCCTGCAACTGCCTCTCCTGATTCACAGGAAGCATGGTGCAAGAAGCTCCCCCCCACGCTCCTCTTCCCAGGCTACACCACCCAGCCAGTCCCTCCCTCCATCGCCGTGCGTCTGGGCAAGAAAGCCTCCGCTGCTGCAGGGGGCAGCAGCAGCGGCAGTGGCAGCGGTAGCAGTGGTGGCGGTGGTGGTGGTGGGGGCGGCAAGGGCAGTGGGAATCCCGAGGTGCAGAGGTTGCTGGAGCTGGCAGACAGGATAGGCCGGCTCACGCAGTACTCGTGCCCTGGCTTCCATGCCAACGTCCGCCAGGTGAGAGTATAGTGCATGTGCATGTACCTGGGACTCTAGGTTGCATGTGCATGTACCTGGGACTCTAGGTTGCATGTGCATGTACCTGGGACTCTAGGTTGCATGTGCGTGTACCTGGGACTCTAGGTTGCATGTGCATGTACCTGGGACTCTAGGTTGCATGTGCGTGTACCTGGGACTCTAGGTTGCATGTGCATGTACCTGGGACTCTAGGTTGCATGTGCATGTACCTGGGACTCTAGGTTGCATGTGCGTGTACCTGGGACTCTAGGTTGCATGTGCATGTACCTGGGACTCTAGGTTGCATGTGCGTGTACCTGGGAGTCTAGGTTGCATGTGCGTGTACCTGGGACTCTAGGTTGCACGCGCGTGTACCTGGGACTCTAGGTTGCATGTGCATGTACCTGGGACTCTAGGTTGCACGCGCGTGTACCTGGGACTCTAGGTTGCATGTGCATGTACCTGGGACTCTAGGTTGCATGTGCGTGTACCTGGGACTCTAGGTTGCATGTGCATGTACCTGGGACTCTAGGTTGCATGTGCATGTACCTGGGACTCTAGGTTGCATGTGCGTGTACCTGGGACTCTAGGTTGCATGTGCATGTACCTGGGACTCTAGGTTGCATGTGCGTGTACCTGGGACTCTAGGTTGCATGTGCATGTACCTGGGACTCTAGGTTGCATGTGCATGTACCTGGGACTCTAGGTTGCATGTGCGTGTACCTGGGACTCTAGGTTGCATGTGCATGTACCTGGGACTCTAGGTTGCATGTGCATGTACCTGGGACTCTAGGTTGCATGTGCGTGTACCTGGGACTCTAGGTTGCATGTGCATGTACCTGGGACTCTAGGTTGCATGTGCGTGTACCTGGGACTCTAGGTTGCATGTGCATGTACCTGGGACTCTAGGTTGCATGTGCATGTACCTGGGACTCTAGGTTGCATGTGCGTGTACCTGGGACTCTAGGTTGCATGTGCATGTACCTGGGACTCTAGGTTGCATGTGCGTGTACCTGGGAGTCTAGGTTGCATGTGCGTGTACCTGGGACTCTAGGTTGCACGCGCGTGTACCTGGGACTCTAGGTTGCATGTGCATGTACCTGGGACTCTAGGTTGCATGTGCGTGTACCTGGGACTCTAGGTTGCATGTGCATGTACCTGGGACTCTAGGTTGCATGTGCATGTACCTGGGACTCTAGGTTGCATGTGCGTGTACCTGGGACTCTAGGTTGCATGTGCATGTACCTGGGACTCTAGGTTGCATGTGCGTGTACCTGGGACTCTAGGTTGCATGTGCATGTACCTGGGACTCTAGGTTGCATGTGCATGTACCTGGGACTCTAGGTTGCATGTGCGTGTACCTGGGACTCTAGGTTGCATGTGCATGTACCTGGGACTCTAGGTTGCATGTGCGTGTACCTGGGACTCTAGGTTGCATGTGCATGTACCTGGGACTCTAGGTTGCACGCGCGTGTACCTGGGACTCTAGGTTACATGTGCGTGTACCTGGGACTCTAGGTTGCATGTGCGTGTACCTGGGACTCTAGGTTGCATGTGCATGTACCTGGGACTCTAGGTTGCATGTGCGTGTACCTGGGACTCTAGGTTGCATGTGCATGTACCTGGGACTCTAGGTTGCATGTGCATGTACCTGGGACTCTAGGTTGCATGTGCGTGTACCTGGGACTCTAGGTTGCATGTGCATGTACCTGGGACTCTAGGTTGCATGTGCGTGTACCTGGGACTCTAGGTTGCATGTGCATGTACCTGGGACTCTAGGTTGCATGTGCGTGTACCTGGGAGTCTAGGTTGCATGTGCGTGTACCTGGGACTCTAGGTTGCACGCGCGTGTACCTGGGACTCTAGGTTGCATGTGCATGTACCTGGGACTCTAGGTTGCACGCGCGTGTACCTGGGACTCTAGGTTGCATGTGCATGTACCTGGGACTCTAGGTTGCATGTGCGTGTACCTGGGACTCTAGGTTGCATGTGCATGTACCTGGGACTCTAGGTTGCATGTGCATGTACCTGGGACTCTAGGTTGCATGTGCGTGTACCTGGGACTCTAGGTTGCATGTGCATGTACCTGGGACTCTAGGTTGCATGTGCGTGTACCTGGGACTCTAGGTTGCATGTGCATGTACCTGGGACTCTAGGTTGCATGTGCATGTACCTGGGACTCTAGGTTGCATGTGCGTGTACCTGGGACTCTAGGTTGCATGTGCATGTACCTGGGACTCTAGGTTGCATGTGCGTGTACCTGGGAGTCTAGGTTGCATGTGCGTGTACCTGGGACTCTAGGTTGCATGTGCATGTACCTGGGACTCTAGGTTGCATGTGCGTGTACCTGGGAGTCTAGGTTGCATGTGCGTGTACCTGGGACTCTAGGTTGCACGCGCGTGTACCTGGGACTCTAGGTTGCATGTGCGTGTACCTGGGACTCTAGGTTGCATGTGCATGTACCTGGGACTCTAGGTTGCATGTGCGTGTACCTGGGACTCTAGGTTGCATGTGCGTGTACCTGGGACTCTAGGTTGCATGTGCATGTACCTGGGACTCTAGGTTGCATGTGCGTGTACCTGGGACTCTAGGTTGCATGGGCATGTACCTGGGACTCTAGGTTGCATGTGCGTGTACCTGGGACTCTAGGTTGCATGTGCATGTACCTGGGACTCTAGGTTGCATGTGCATGTACCTGGGACTCTAGGTTGCATGTGCGTGTACCTGGGACTCTAGGTTGCATGTGCATGTACCTGGGACTCTAGGTTGCATGTGCGTGTACCTGGGAGTCTAGGTTGCATGTGCGTGTACCTGGGACTCTAGGTTGCACGCGCGTGTACCTGGGACTCTAGGTTGCATGTGCATGTACCTGGGACTCTAGGTTGCATGTGCGTGTACCTGGGACTCTAGGTTGCATGTGCATGTACCTGGGACTCTAGGTTGCATGTGCGTGTACCTGGCACTCTAGGTTGCATGTGCATGTACCTGGGACTCTAGGTTGCATGTGCATGTACCTGGGACTCTAGGTTGCATGTGCGTGTACCTGGGACTCTAGGTTGCATGTGCATGTACCTGGGACTCTAGGTTGCATGTGCGTGTACCTGGGAGTCTAGGTTGCATGTGCGTGTACCTGGGACTCTAGGTTGCACGCGCGTGTACCTGGGACTCTAGGTTGCACGCGCGTGTACCTGGGACTCTAGGTTGCATGTGCATGTACCTGGGACTCTAGGTTGCATGTGCGTGTACCTGGGACTCTAGGTTGCATGTGCGTGTACCTGGGAGTCTAGGTTGCATGTGCGTGTACCTGGGACTCTAGGTTGCACGCGCGTGTACCTGGGACTCTAGGTTGCATGTGCATGTACCTGGGACTCTAGGTTGCATGTGCGTGTACCTGGGACTCTAGGTTGCATGTGCATGTACCTGGGACTCTAGGTTGCATGTGCGTGTACCTGGGACTCTAGGTTGCATGTGCATGTACCTGGGACTCTAGGTTGCATGTGCATGTACCTGGGACTCTAGGTTGCATGTGCGTGTACCTGGGACTCTAGGTTGCATGTGCATGTACCTGGGACTCTAGGTTGCATGTGCGTGTACCTGGGACTCTAGGTTGCATGTGCATGTACCTGGGACTCTAGGTTGCATGTGCATGTACCTGGGACTCTAGGTTGCATGTGCGTGTACCTGGGACTCTAGGTTGCATGTGCATGTACCTGGGACTCTAGGTTGCATGTGCGTGTACCTGGGAGTCTAGGTTGCATGTGCGTGTACCTGGGACTCTAGGTTGCATGTGCATGTACCTGGGACTCTAGGTTGCATGTGCGTGTACCTGGGAGTCTAGGTTGCATGTGCGTGTACCTGGGACTCTAGGTTGCACGCGCGTGTACCTGGGACTCTAGGTTGCATGTGCGTGTACCTGGGACTCTAGGTTGCATGTGCATGTACCTGGGACTCTAGGTTGCATGTGTGTGTACCTGGGACTCTAGGTTGCATGTGCGTGTACCTGGGACTCTAGGTTGCATGTGCATGTACCTGGGACTCTAGGTTGCATGTGCGTGTACCTGGGACTCTAGGTTGCATGGGCATGTACCTGGGACTCTAGGTTGCATGTGCGTGTACCTGGGACTCTAGGTTGCATGTGCATGTACCTGGGACTCTAGGTTGCATGTGCATGTACCTGGGACTCTAGGTTGCATGTGCGTGTACCTGGGACTCTAGGTTGCATGTGCATGTACCTGGGACTCTAGGTTGCATGTGCGTGTACCTGGGAGTCTAGGTTGCATGTGCGTGTACCTGGGACTCTAGGTTGCACGCGCGTGTACCTGGGACTCTAGGTTGCATGTGCATGTACCTGGGACTCTAGGTTGCATGTGCGTGTACCTGGGACTCTAGGTTGCATGTGCATGTACCTGGGACTCTAGGTTGCATGTGCGTGTACCTGGCACTCTAGGTTGCATGTGCATGTACCTGGGACTCTAGGTTGCATGTGCATGTACCTGGGACTCTAGGTTGCATGTGCGTGTACCTGGGACTCTAGGTTGCATGTGCATGTACCTGGGACTCTAGGTTGCATGTGCGTGTACCTGGGAGTCTAGGTTGCATGTGCGTGTACCTGGGACTCTAGGTTGCACGCGCGTGTACCTGGGACTCTAGGTTGCACGCGCGTGTACCTGGGACTCTAGGTTGCATGTGCATGTACCTGGGACTCTAGGTTGCATGTGCGTGTACCTGGGACTCTAGGTTGCATGTGCGTGTACCTGGGAGTCTAGGTTGCATGTGCGTGTACCTGGGACTCTAGGTTGCACGCGCGTGTACCTGGGACTCTAGGTTGCATGTGCATGTACCTGGGACTCTAGGTTGCATGTGCGTGTACCTGGGACTCTAGGTTGCATGTGCATGTACCTGGGACTCTAGGTTGCATGTGCGTGTACCTGGGACTCTAGGTTGCATGTGCATGTACCTGGGACTCTAGGTTGCATGTGCATGTACCTGGGACTCTAGGTTGCATGTGCGTGTACCTGGGACTCTAGGTTGCATGTGCATGTACCTGGGACTCTAGGTTGCATGTGCGTGTACCTGGGAGTCTAGGTTGCATGTGCGTGTACCTGGGACTCTAGGTTGCACGCGCGTGTACCTGGGACTCTAGGTTGCATGTGCATGTACCTGGGACTCTAGGTTGCATGTGCGTGTACCTGGGACTCTAGGTTGCATGTGCATGTACCTGGGACTCTAGGTTGCATGTGCGTGTACCTGGGACTCTAGGTTGCATGTGCGTGTACCTGGGACTCTAGGTTGCATGTGCGTGTACCTGGGACTCTAGGTTGCATGTGCGTGTACCTGGGAGGGACTCTCACACAGTGGGCATCCCGAGGTGCAGAGGCTGCTGGAGTTGGCTGATCGGATAGGCTGGCTGACGCAGTACTCCGGCCCTGGCTTCCATGCCAGCGCCCGCCAGGTGGGACTCTAGTGCATGTGCAGTACCTGGGACTCTCACACGGTGGGAATACGGAGGTGTAGAGGTTGCTGGAGCAGTACTCCTGCCCTGGCTTGCATGCCAACGTCCGCCAGGTGGGACTCAAAAGTGCCTTTCGAATTATTCGGTAAAATAGATATGCGTCCACACAGAGATATCACATAGTGTTATCCTGTATATCCTGTGATGCGGGTCTCGTGGAGCAACCATACATAGGCACGCGCATCTGCTCCCCGCCATCCCCCCCACCTCCCTCTCCTCCCATTCCTTCATGCCTGTCTTCTTGGACCCTCGGGTTCCCCGCCCCACCCATATTGTATGTTGTCCCCTGCCAGTATCGCATGGCGGGCCTTGCTGCCATAGAGATCGCCCAGGCTGTGGCAGCCGTACATACGCACACATGCGTCATCCCCCCCACGCACCTCTCCTCCCATACCTTCTTGCCCTTGCACTGCCCCCTCCACCCGTGATGCATGTTGTCCCGCGCCAGTATCGCATGGCGGGCCTTGCTGCCATCGAAATCGCCCAGGCTGTAGCAGCCGCATGGGAGCAGAGGGAGGAGGAGGCTGCTGCTGCTGCTTCCGCTGCTGCTACAGCCGCTGGTGGTGCGTCTCCTGCTTCAGCTGCAGCAGCCGCCGTTCTTGCTGAGCTGGAGGATGGAGGCGCTGACATGTCGTCCTTCTCCAAGTCATCATCTGATGACGTGTCATCCCTTTCCTTGGATGATGATGGGGGCAGCAGCAGCGGAGGAGAGGCAGTGGCTAGTGGCAACAGAGGTCAAGAGGAGAGGAGGAAGGGAGGAGGTTCAGGGAAAAGCGGCGGAGGAAAGGGGGGAAAGAGCAAGGGTGGAAAGGGAGGAGGGCGGGGGAAGGGAGGAGGTGGGAGCGGAGGGAAGAATGCCTCTGCAAGCGCAGCAGGAGGAGCTGGGGCAGCGAAGGGAGTGCAAATAAAGGGGTGGAGGGATGTTTACTCCATTGCTGTGCGGTGGAGGCAGCTGTCAGAGCCATGTGACCCCGCTGTATGGGTGGACATGCTCACGTGAGTAGCGAGTGAGGGCTGCCTTGTCATGCTCTTATTTTGTTTTGGCGGCTTTAAAGGAGGTGGGGGCAGCTGTCAGAGCCGTGCGACCCGGCTGTATGGGTGGACATGCTCACGCGAGTGGTGTGGTGTGGTGTGGTGTGGTGTGGTGTGGTGTGGTGTGTGTGAGGCGTGCTGCATGGGTGATTCCTCGTTCATTCGAGTTTGGATTAAGTTCAGGCCGTGAAGTTTTTCATGGACAGTGGGGGTGGGTGTATCATGGTCGTGAGTGCTGCATGTGTGGCAGAGTGGGGTGTGATTGATTCATTGACCAATTCCGTCACGTGCAACCTCTCCTTGTGTCCCTCGTGCCACAGGGAGAAGGAGTTCCGAGCGGGCTTTGGGTCGCACACGCCTATTCTCATCGGGCAGACCAAGGTGGTGCGCTACCATGCTAACTTCGACCGGTAAGCACCCCCTCACTGCGCTCCCCCTCACTGCGCTCCCCCTCACTGCGCTCCCCCTCACTGTGCTCCCCCTCACTGTGCTCCCCCTCACTGCGCTCCCCCTCACTGTGCTCCCCCTCACTGTGCTCCCCCTCACTGCGCTCCCCCTCACTGCGCTCCCCCTCACTGCGCTCCCCCTCACTGCGCTCCCCCTCACTGCGCTCCCCCTCACTGCGCTCCCCCTCACTGCGCTCCCCCTCACTGCGCTCCCCCTCACTGCGCTCCCCCTCACTGCGCTCCCCCTCACTGCGCTCCCCCTCACTGCGCTCCCCCTCACTGTGCTCCCCCTCACTGCGCTCCCCCTCACTGCGCTCCCCCTCACTGCGCTCCCCCTCACTGCGCTCCCCCTCACTGCGCTCCCCCTCACTGCGCTCCCCCTCACTGCGCTCCCCCTCACTGCGCTCCCCCTCACTGCGCTCCCCCTCACTGTGCTCCCCCTCACCTCATACCTTTTTCGTTTTCCCCAAAAGCGCACGCCTATTTTCATCGGGCAGACCAAGGTGGTGCGCTACCATGCTAACTTCGACCGGTAAGCACCCCCTCACCGTGCCCCCTCTCACTCCGCTACCTTTCTGAATTAGCCTTTCTTTTTGCCGCGTGCATCGCAATGCTATTGTGAAAGGCTCTGAGGTCCCTAAGGACTGTGTGTGTGTGTGCCTGTGTGCGGGGTGGGGTGGGGTGGGGTGGGGTGGGGTGGGGTGGGGTGGGGTGGGGTGGGGTGGGGTGGGGTGGGGTGGGGTGCATGGTGTGCGTGCAGGGCGTTTGCGATAATGAAGGAGGAGATGCTGCGGTCGGGTGCGGTGCACAACGCTGCCAACAACCGAGTGGCCGTTGACTCACCCGCCCAGAAATCAGCTGTCAGTTCTGCCTCTCTCAGCCCCTCTACTCTCAAATTCTAGTCCTCCACTTCCCACCCCCTTCCCTGTTTGACTTTTCCCAATTTGAACTTGTTCTTACCGCTTGTCAACCCCATGTCTACCCATGTTTGAGAATCATTTGCAGCCCCTGAATAGATAATGCGAAGGGTTTTCTACTCCCCCCTCGTCACTCTCTCGTGTTCTCCACCCCCTATTCACCCACCCTCTCCTCCACCCTCTGTGTGGCACCTGCCCCTCCGCTGTGGCAGGTGGCTGCAGCCAAGGCGTGTGAGGACCTGTACCGGGTGGTGGGGGAGGACTTCTGGATCGTCACGCCCTGCCACAGCAAGCTCACCTCATGCTCTCCTTCCCCCACTCACCCGCCCTCCCCTCGCCCCTCTGTGTGGTACCCGCACAACCACTGAGGCAGGTGGCGGCAGCCAAGGCGTGTGAGGACCTGTACCGGGTGGTGGGGGAGGACTTCTGGATCGTCACACCCTGCTACAGCATGGTGGACCCGGGGTGAGTGGCCACTACAGCTAGATTTAGTGTTTTCAGTGCAACATTTCTGCCATCCGTGTCATAAGGCTGCCTTGCCTCACTGAGGTCCCACCATCTCCTCCTTCCTCTTCCTGCTTCCACTGCTCAAACCCCCTTTGTCCGTTCCTCTTCTGCCTGCGTGTGTCACTTGCTGCATTCTCCACCCTTCCAGGAAGGTTCTTGAGGGCACACGACTCACCCTTGTGAAGACGTAAGCAGCCCAGCCCCTTTCTCTCTCTGTCCCCATTCTTCTCTCAGTCCCCTTTGCTCTCGCCCTTAGCTTTCTCAGCCCCTTTTGCTCTCTCAACTGCCTTTGCTCTCTCAACACCCTTTGCCCTCTCAACACCCTTTGCTCTCTCAACCCCCTTTGCCCTCTCAACCCCCTTTGCCCTCTCAACCCCCTTTGCTCTCTCAACCCCCTTTGCCCTCTCAACCCCCTTTGCCCTCTCAACCCCCTTTGCCCTCTCAACCCCCTTTGCTCTCTCAGTCCCTCTTGCTATCTCTGTTCCATTGTCCTCTTCTCGTTTCCCATGCGTCACCATACCGTACTCACACTATCCTCCTCAACCTGCTTCCCTTCACGTCCCTTTCTTAACAACACTGCCTTCCGTCTTCCCCTCACGCACCTCCCCATACCCTCGCTGCTTTCCTCACGCCCCCTCTCTCTGCATCGCCTGCAGCCCCACGGGGTTTGACTTTGCCATCCGCACGCCCGGCACTCCGTCACGCTGGGCAGACTACGATGCAGAGATGACGGCCGCGTGGGAGGTGCGTGGGGTGGGGTGGGGTGGGGTGGGGTGGGGTGGGGTGGGGTGGGGGGTTGGGGTCGGGTGGGGTGGGGTGGGGTGGGGTGGGGTGGGGTGGGGTGGGTTGTTGATGAGGGACGAATGGTGTGAATGCTGTGGACGTGGCAGGACGTGTGCTTCTGACAGCAAGCAGCGTGTGGGCATACATGCATGTGGCACGGCTGCATGTGGCACTGCGCGGCCTCTGGAATGCCCCTCCAGATTATACCCCACTGAAGGTATCGTTTCACTGTGCTGTTGTGTCATGTCAGAGTCATGCTGGCAGCATGGCTGCTGAAAGGGGAGCAGTGAGAAGAAAGCTTCTCCAATTCTAGCCCTGCCCTCCTCCCTTCTGTCTCTCTCTCTGTCCTCTCCTCCCCCTTTCCCACCCCGGCCAACGCAGGACTTGTGCACAGTGGTGGGGGAGAAGATGCAGGGGGGGACATGGAGGCCTACTCTTGGCCCCTCCATGGCTCAATTCCAAGCTTTGGAACTTTATCTCTACCCTCGCGCTGTGCCTCTCTCTGTCTCTTCCTCCCTCATCTCCTCACCAGGACTTGTGCACAGTGGTGGGGGAGAAGATGCAGGGGGGGCATGGAGGCCACCCCTCGGTCCTTCCATGGCACGATTCCAGCGAGCCGTGCTGCGCCTCGCCTACTACTGGTACCCTCTCACTCTTCACTCTTGCACCTCTTGAGGTTTTCTTGTCGGAATTCTTAAAAACGAGCCGTGCTGCGCCTTGCCTACTACTGGTACCCACTCCCTCGTATTCTAAGCGCCCCTTGAACCCTGTGCTTGTGTTGTCGTTGGTGTTTGGTCTTTGGTGACTGCATGCACGGCACACTGTCATCAGCCTGCAGTCTTGGTCGTACCTGATTGCCGAATGATGCTGCAGGCTACAAACAGCTGCCTGCCTCTGTAGCTGTAAGAATGCTGTAGATCCACCACTCTACACCACTCTGCACCGCTCTCCCCACGGCAGGTACAACTTCATGCCGCTGGCACGTGGAACAGCCATGGTGGGGTACGTGGTGACGCTGGCTCTCTTCCTTGCCGCCCAGCTGCAAGCCAGCATGCTTTGGTTGCACCGCTCTACATAACTCTTGCACCATTCTGCACCACTCTTTCTTGCGCCACTCTTTCTTGCACCACTCCCTCTGCTGCAGGTACAACTTCATGCCGCTGGCACGTGGAACAGCCATGGTGGGGTATGTGGTGACGCTGGCTCTCTTCCTCGCGGCCCAGCTGCAAGTCACTGCTGCCATCCCACCCAAACTGCAGGTTCGTTGGGTGTTTGTGTGTTGAGACGACTTTTGAGGCCCCTCAAAAGCTCATGGTGTATGAGACGACTTGTGAAGCACATCTACACGATATCCATCCTTCTCCTTCCTCTTGTATGCTCATATCTTATCAATACCGTGCTTCGGCCTCAAAGCTTACCCTGTCTTACGAACCCCCCAAACCACCCCCCCCCCCCCCCCCCCACTTTCCCCCACCCCCCTTCTTCGCCCTTTCCCCCTTCTTCAACCCTGAAGGTGGATTGGGAGGCCATTCTCTCATCACGCTTTGAAACCTTCGCCTCGGCAGTCATGCCATGGCTCTCCCCTTCAGTCACGCCCCTCACCGATCCCACGCTTTCCTCCTTCCCCTCGCTCACCTCCACTCTGCCCACCGTTGCCTCTGCTGTTGCGGCCCTCTCCTCGCCCCCCACATCCTCCCCTGCACCCTCCGCTGCTCGCTCTTAGGAGCGGTTGTAAGTTTGAGGCAAAACTGTGCTTCCATTGGCTTCGTAAATGTGGAGTGTTCCCTGGTAGCAGTGATTAGGCTAGGCTAGAGAGATGCTTGTGTTATGCGCCTGCCTTCTATGCTTTAGTGGGGTTCTCATTGGAGACGCCTTGGAGCGTCCGTTGCTGTGGTGGCCACATGCTAGTTCACCCCTGCTAGTCTAGTTCTCTCAGCCCAGCTTACATGTGGTTATGTTTAGCAAGCGTCTGAGTAATTGCTGTGTTTCAGTGCATTAATGCAATCACGCTAGGACATCACTGACACATAACTGATATCGTCATGGCAAACACATAACTGGCACTGTCATGGTAACAAGAGCCCCTACACACACCCCAAGATCCTCCAACAGCAGAATAAGCTGCACATAACCTGGCTACACAGCGTTCCACTAGTTAGTTCCAGTTAGGCAGTTAGTGGGCAGCACAAACAAGCCAGCTTCAAGTGGGAACATAGCCATAGGGTGTAGGCAGCTCCACCGATCCCACGCCGTGTTTCCTATGTCCTCTTCCGTCTCCCCTCCTTCCTCCCCCCCTGTTGTCACTGTCTGCCCGTGCACGAGCTGTGCTTCTGGCAACTGCTCCTCTCCGCGGCCGCCGCCAGGGCGTTTCGCCGACTTGCCTCCGCCTTGTGCCCCGCCCGCTGCTGCCTTGCCTCCGCCTTGTGCCCCGCCCGCTGCTGCCTGGCCTCCCCCTTGCGCCCCGCCCGCTGCTGCTCCTGTCCTGCGCTGCCCCCCCCTGCTTGGCTTCTGCGTTGCGTTGACCTGCTGACTCACAACCGCCCTCGGACCTCGTCTCTTCTGTTTTTTCTTCCCCCCGTTTTGGTTGCGCGCTCTTTTTCCTTGCGTCGTTGCTGGTCTGCTCCGGAAGTGTTGCGTCCGGCTTGCCACGGTTTTTCCCTTTCGCACGCCCCCCTGTGAAGCAGCTTGCCTCGCTCCGCCCCTTCTGCCCCTGCCATGCCTCTTCACCCCCCTGTGCCCTGTCCCCTTGGCGTGACCTGCAGCGTGGTTGCGAGGCGGCGATGCCTCCGACGGGGTAGCTCCTATTCTTCCTCCTGCCACTCCCCTCGCCCCTCTCGCCCCTTTACTTTCCGCTACCGTGGTCGCCGTTTCCCTCCCCTTCCCCCTCCCCCGCGTCCCAGCGCCACTCTGATTTCTCCCGCCATTCACAACGAGCAACCGGTGCGCCGCTGCCCCTTTCCCCCCGTGGCGGCCTCCCCCCCAATTGTCTCACTTCTCCCCGAACGACTACCCCGCCCTCCCCCCGTGTTGCCCCTCCTTGCTCCCCCACAGCCCTTTCCCCATTTCCTGCGTCGCACGCCAATCAGGAGCGAGCACGAGGGAGCTCGAGCTCCTCTCGGAGTGAAGCGCGCCGAGCAGGCGCGGAACGAGGCGGGTGAGAAGCGGGAGAAGCAGCAGCGCGGCACGGATCATGACCGCGATTCTACCCTACGGGCGGTTCGACAGGCGAAGGTCGCCTAGAGGTAGCTGATGACGGTAGTAGACACTTCCGTTAGAGATAGTCGGTGATACGGTAATAAACTTGTCTCAAGTTTACTAAGAGCTAGTAGGATTGCTGTTTACACTTGCACGCGATGCAGGAATGGCATGCCTAGTACCTGTGTTAGCCGATTAAAAATAATGTACTGCTGAAAAGCGTTTCTGTCGCGCCGCACATTCAGTTGTCTGGTCCATTCCCGCGTTGCGGTTTCTAGGGGCGCTGGCTCACACTAACGAATGGAACTAACATCGTATCACGCGGGACTGAAAGCGAGGGTCGATATGGCGGCGAACAACTGAAGGAGGGCACGGTGCAGAGGGGTTCTGGCGTTGTCGGTGGAGTGGCAATGGCAGAAAGGGAGTCGGCTACTCGGCTACTCGGCTCGCCACGGGACGCAGCGCAGCATACCCTTGCTGACTTGTCAGCGGATCACGACTGGCGCGCTTCGGATGCGACTGTCAAGTGACGGCATAGCCGTGCTCAGCAGTTTATCAGCAGAGCTTGTAGGACAAGCGAGGTGGAAATTGCCGTGCTGGAGATGAGGTGGGAAAAAGCAAGGAATGAGAAATGTGGATTGGGATTGACAAGTTGTGTTGTAAAAGGGGCGCAATTTGTGTTTGGTTTGCCGCGCCTCGATGTTCCGCCGTGTGCGATTTTTGAAATCTCGGCTCGCAAGCAGCTCTGCTTGCCCCTGCGATGGCGAAAGCGATTGGTGCGCGACTGTGAAGGGGCGATGGAAATGGAACGTGCACAGTTTCTTGATCAACGAGGATGTTCCACGTAGAAGCATTCAGGTTTCGTGTTCATATACGCGTTATACACAACCATCACATAACAACAACAGAAGAAAGCAGGTGGAAAAAAACATACGACGGCTTAAAAGCGCCGCCCGTGGGGCTCGAACCCACGACCACAAGGTTAAGAGCCTTGCGCTCTACCGACTGAGCTAGGGCGGCTGAGGAACGGCAAATTTTTAAACAATCAAAACATCTTCTTTACTATACCGACTGTCGCACATCAACATTAGTTATGTGATTATAAATGTCGCAGCTTGCGAGTGTCCGCTGGTCACTCCGTCTCGTCTTGTCACCCGTCGCGACACCTCGTCTATCCCCGCCACGCCGCCGCCATTGCCGGTACCATTCCCTACAGCGGCGCCTCCACAGCCAGTCCCCAACGCATGGTGCAGCAAACGGGCTGAATGCCGTCGCCCGCAGCGACGCCAGTTTTAACGACGGCAGCCGCAGCATCAGCAGCAGCGGCGGCAGCGACGGCAGCAGCAGCATGGCGCTAGAATTCGAGGTGCTCGCTCGCCAACTGAACTGAATGCATGCCTTCCGCCTATTGTCCCCCTCCCTTCCCTTCCCCGCTCCCACTCCCCCCTCCCCCCCGCCCCTCTTCCTCTCCGCCCCCCCCCCCCCTTTTCCCTGGTGGGTCTTCCCGCGACCGCTAGTTGCCACGCGTACGCGCGGAACTGTTGCGCCTTCGAACTCCCCCGCGCCCGCCTCTCCCTTCCCCCGCCCGCGCCGGCAGGTGCTGGCGACTCACGAGCGCGCGCGAGCGGCGCGAATGACGCTGCCGCACCACAGCTGCCTCACGCCCATGTTCATGCCCGTGGGCACGCAAGGTGGGACTCTGACGGGAGTTGCGAGTGGTTGACAGGTTTTGAGAGGGGTTGAAGGGGGGCTTAGATGGGCTGAGAGGGGCTAGAATGGTGCTGAATGGGGCTGCAGCAGCCTCGCGCCCATGTTCATGCCCGTGGGCATTCAAGGTGGGTTAACAGCGCAACAACTAGGCGAGCTGGGCTGCCAGGTGGTGCTGGGGAACACACACCTACCACCTCGCTGACCCCTTCCTTTCCTGTCCTGTCCCGCACCTTCCCCCTCCCCACCCCTTTCCTCCCCTGATGGAACCATAACAGGCACAATCAAGGGCCTAACAGCACAACAACTAGGCGAGTTGGGCTGCCAGGTGGTGCTGGGGAACATGTACCACCTCGCCAACCCCTGTCTGTTGTTCCATTCTCTCACCTTATTCCGCCACCCCTGCAGGCACAATCAAAGGACTAACAGCCCAACAATTAGGCGACCTGGGGTGCCAGGTGGTGCTTGGCAACACATATCACCTCGCCAACCGCCCTGGCGCTGACGTCATCGCTGAGGCAGGCGGGCTGCACGCGTTCATGGACTGGCCGCGTGGGCTGCTCACTGACTCGGGGGGATTCCAGATGGTGAGAGGTGTGGAGGGGGGCTTTAAGAGGAAGGGAGGTTTGTGTGGCTCTAAGATGGTGAGAAGGGCGGGCTGCATGCGTTCATGGACTGGCCTCGTGGCTTGCTCACTGACTCGGGGGGCTTCCAGATGGTGAGGGGTGTGGAGGGGGGCTGTAAGACGGGTAGAAGGGTGGGGCTTTGAGATTGCGCAGGCGGGCTGCATGCATTCATGGACTGGCCGCGCGGGCTGCTCACCGACTCGGGGGGATTCCAGATGGTGAGAGAGGGGGGCTTTAAGATGGTGAGGGGGGGTGGGGCTTTAAGATGGTGAGAGGGGGTTCGACATTGTGCGTGCCTTGCTTGCAGAAGGTGGGATGGGTTGAAACTTGAATGTAGACACGGGGAAGGGAATATAGGCATGAAGAATGCACACACTGCTCAAACGGCAGCCAGGTACCTCTGTTGCAGTGCTGTTGCATGCCATACCTGCCATGCCATGCCATGCCATGCCATGCCATACCATGCCATGCCCTGCCCACACCGGGTGCTCTTGCTGCTGCTTGCCGCCGCCCCTCACTGCGTGCTTTGCCGCACACCGGCCTCCACCGCCCTGCACTCCTCTCCACCGTTGTGCACCGTGGCAGGTGTCGTTGCTACACCTGGCGGACATCACAGAGCAGGGCGTGGAGTTCCAGTCGCCTGTGGACGGCACTCGCATGCTGCTCACGCCTGAGGAGTCCATTGCTATTCAGGTGCCTCCCACACGAACCCCCACCGCACTCCACCGCACTCCAAACCAAACTCCACCGCACTCCACTGCACGGGCGTTGGGCGTTGGTCTTGGGCGTTGGGCTTGGGCGTTTACGCGACCTGAAACAGCGTAAAGTGCCAACAGAAGAGTCCATCCCCATCCAGGTGCCTCCCCCCACCCCACACCCCCCTGTCAGATGCCTGTGGGAGGAAGGAACTGAGGGAGGAACTGAGGGAGGAAGGAACTGAGGGAGGAACTGAGGGAGGAACTGAGGGAGGGAGGAACTGAGGGAGGGAGGAACTGAGGGAGGGACTGAGGGAGGAACTGAGGGAGGAACTGAGGGAGGAACTGAGGGAGGGACTGAGGGAGGAACTGAGGGAGGAACTGAGGGAGGAAGGAACTGAGGGAGGAACTGAGGGAGGGACTGAGGGAGGAACTGAGGGAGGAACTGAGGGAGGAACTGAGGGAGGAACTGAGGGAGGAACTGAGGGAGGAACTGAGGG